CTCTCCTATTGGTACATACACAAACTTGCTTTGATCGCTGGTGTTCTAAACATTATCTTTATTTATTTGTTAATTATACACTGTAGTAACACACGGCAATTGCGAACACATGAAATTTTTATCAGCGAGTCATACGTCTTTTTTATGGCAAGGAAGTAAACAATTATCATTCTGGTGCCATCAATCATAAACTCATTCGCTGTTAGACATAAAAATGCATAAATATATATACGGAAACAAACATAGGTATCAAATGCAATCAGCTGTACTTAACGTGAATATATTCATCATATAAACAATGTTTCAAACGAAAAAAGACACATTTCTACATGCTATCATTGACTATTAATCATAACATGTGCAAAAGCAGAATTTCAAATGTATTTCTTTCGGAAGCCATCTTTATATGGCCGTCTTAGCCGTAATGGATATAATTCACAAAAATAAATTCCACAACATGTATATGATAATTTCACACAGGATCAGGGTACACATTAGCACAATGTTCGTTATATTACTACTTTAGACGAATTAAAATTATGTACGATTTACCATATTTCGATTAAATTGTAATAAAGTTTACTACAGAAGAGAAAAAAAATACTTGATTGCAATATGTTGAACGTAAAACCTGCAAGGAAAACACTTGCTTGACTTGATAATTCAGCTATAGCTTAATACTTGTTTGAAGAGATTTGATATAGACGTAAGTAAATTGGCTGTCAGATCGGTGAGAAAAACACTCACAATGATTTAGGCAACTATGAAATTATAAAAAATAAACATATATAAATTATACCTTTATTTGATTGCTAGATTAATCAAGTATTGTTAACTTAAATTTAGAATGTCAAGTCTGTAAGCAAATCACTCACAATGATTTAGACATTTTATTTCCATAAGAAACGTTTTGAACCTATAATTTAATAAAGGAATTATATGTTTGTTTTGTAAAGAGACTTCTCTTATGCCTTTAGTTTCATAAAACTAATTAAAGAAAATAAATAAATAAATGAATAAAAAATAAATAAATAAATAAATAAATGAATAAACGTATTGGTCTGTGAAGACAACACTCACTTGACAGAATAACTGAGTTTCAAATAACAAATGATATAACAATATCTAGTTTGCTTGTAAAAATAAATTAGAAATTGCTAGAATGCATATAATGTTGAATGAGAGAAAAAAAATAAACAACCAAAAAATCCATGAATAAATAAACTTAAATAAACTTTAAACAAACATTTACTGTCCAAAATGTTGCACAAAGTTACATAAAAGACTCAGCATAATATATAAAAATTTAAATAAAACTCAGTAACTGTAATATACCTAGTTTTATTGCTGCTAGCTTACCGAACCCCAAAAGCAGCGTGCAAAGCCTCATGTGCTCTTGCCAAAATCCACAACCAACAGAGCCCACAAAACTCACAAATCCAAGGAAACTCACAATGCCTACAAAACCCACAGTTCTAACAAAATATAAAACCAACAAAGTCCACAATTTTTGTTGGAATATTTAAACAAGCATGGGTATAATTATTCGATTTTGACAATGATTATATATCAAAATTGTCATCTCGATATATTACAAATTAGTACATTGCAATTGTATTGCCCCAAGCATAAAATCGGTTTTGTATTTCGCGACACGATTTGTATAATACTGTCGCTTAAGAGCAATGTTTTAGAAACTCTGCTAGGCAGTCTTACAATATTACTGAGGTAGACTGCATAACAGGGCAGTCAACGTGCATATACCAAAGATATAAAGAAGAGAAAACCTAGCTTAAATGCAATTATTCATGGAAATTAACCAACAGGGGCAATAAACCCATTGAGTATGTATCATACAGGCTGAAACGGTTAACTAGAAATAGTTAATAATCAAATTATCAAGGGTGCCAGCTGACGGCATAGATGCTCAGAATTTACGCTAACTCAAAACAGGTAGACAGCTAACAATGAATCGTCGAAGTAAACAAAATAGAGAATCATATAAAATATTAATGTCAGCTAATTTGAGTAATTCCCTGGTAATTGACTGATCTAAAACAAACATTGAGACCCAATTGGGCGGCATGTATTAAAAATGTTTAGTGCATACTTACATGTGTGTTGCACTCCATAAGCGCAGATTATGTATGTATGTATGCATACATGTATGTATGTATGTATGTATGTATGTATGTATGTATGTATGTATGTATGTATGTATGTATGTATGTATGTATGTATGTATGTATGTATGTATGTATGTATGTATGTACGTACGTACGTATGTATGTATGTATGTATGTATGTATGTATGTATGTATGTATGTATGTATGTATGTATGTATGTATGCATGCATGTATGTATGTATGGATGGATGGATGGATGGATGGATGGATGTATGTATGTATGTATGTATGTATGTATGTATGTATGTATGTATGTATGTATGTATGAACGTACGTACGTATGTATGTACGTACGTGTATGTATGTATGTATGTATGTATGTATGTATGTATGTATGTATGTATGTATGTATGTATGTATGTATGTATGTATGTATGTATGTATGTATGTATGTATGTATGTATGTATGTATGTATGTATGTATGTATGGATGGATGGATGGATGGATGTATGGATGTATGTATGTATGTATGTATGTATGTATGTATGTATGTATGTATGTATGTATGTATGTATGTATGTATGTATGTATGTATGTATGTATGACAGATCTGCAGAATCATGCTCACCACTTAGAATTATGTTAATTTCGTAGCAATGATGATTAAGATGCAACTTCTTACTAAGTAAATATTCAAATTTTCACATGAAATGAAGACATGTAGTCCTATCAGCTAAAGATGAAAAATAAATGACAAATTACCTAATGATTCAATGAGTCATATATTATTACAAAATGCTTATTAAATATCAAAATAACTTAATTATGAAATACGGTTAATTATGTCTTTCAAACATAACACACAAGCAGTAAGAAAATTCTTTCAACCTCTAGTTTATTAACAAAATAATAATACCTTGGGTTAATATGTGTTTGATAATTGTCAGTTTGAATTATATCATTGTGATACATAACGATCTTTGGAACTTTAGCACAGCTGCATTAAAAGCAAATTTAGGATTTCGCACCTGAATTAGTTGCTTTCAAGTTGGACTGTTTATGACAATGTCTTGATCTTGTAGTTAAGTTCAGGTGAGGATATACATCTACTACTTTGTGTTTAAATCGTGTTGCAATCAATTTAGAAAGTGACTCAAGCAATTAATAAAAAGGCAGTGAAACAGGCCACTAGATTTTAGAGTTCAGATTCCAGCAAAACAATCATCTCTTACCACCATCTTTCAACTCAATTGTAACTTATGAAACAAGTCTCAATTCAAATTCTAGCAAACTTTGTTGGGTGTTCTGAAGAACTAATCTAGCTTAATTTAAATGTTACATGAATTAAATCCAAAAGCCGTAGTTGGGTTATGATGTTCAACCATCATGCAGATATCTAAACCATCTCCTACCATATCTAGAGATTTGAGCAGTGTTGAAAGACTTGTGACATACACGCACTTATCCAATGATCCACATGCCGAATCGTATAATCTGTATTTATTTTTTTAACATGATCAAAGGAATTATTAGTTTCGCTTTGTGGGAATTTGGACATTGTAGGACAACTGGAACGTTTCAATGTCTATAATTATTTTTTTTATTAAATCAGAAAATATTCTTGTTCAATCAACATTAATGAAAATATTAAAATAAATCTCATTCTCTCTTTCATTTAGCAATATAATTATGCCGTATTTGGATTTTCACCTTCTCTTGCTGGGCAGCTAATAACATATGACCATCAACCAGCCTTCCTTCTTGCCAACCAAGAATGCCTTCCTGTTTATGTTTAGCAAATTAGCATTCTCCATATCTTTGTATATAAGAAACTAATATACTTGCTAGACTCCATTGAAATAATGATATTAATATTATCCTTGTGCTTTATTAATAAAATAGAGATTATTAAAGTCTATTGACTATATAAAACGGTCTTGTTGTTATTGTTAGTGTTGTTTTGAAGTTTAATGCCATTTCACATGGCAAAGATAGATTATTCATGGCAGCCAGAATAATTAAGGGTAGAAGAGCATAGGAAAGCCCCGATAATAACCATCGACTCATGGGAAACTACTAGTAGCTTTCTCACTTCCCACAATGGCCATGCACAAGACTCAAAACCACAATAAATTGGTGATATGAGATATGAATATATATATATATATATATATATATATATATATATATATATATATATATATATATATATATATATATATATATATATATATATATATATATATATATATATATATATATATATATATATATATATATATATTGTTGACTTCCGTTAGTCTCGAGGGACGATGGACATGCGCCCATGGAAGGTGTCCCAGTTGTTTGCA